AGGACAAAATGTAACCTAGTCAGAAGTAAACTTTCATTAAAAAGGACATGTGATTGTGACATTTCATTAGTCTTCTGAAAGGAAAACTGATGTATAGTTTAATTACCAGTTAACCTGTTGGGCAGGTTAGTTAGTTAGTTTTCCCCACCTTAATGTTGTGCTTTCATTCCTACTTGTCTTGCTGTACTTGCTAGAAAACCCAAATTGTTGCTGTGACAACTGACATTTCAAATTTTTCACAAGCTTCTAGTAATGCAGCATTTCTCCACGCATCTTGCACTTCTGAGATATGTCTCCAGGAGCCTGTCGGAGGGAAAATGATCGCTGTTTCCTACGCCGGCACTGCCCAGGCCCTCCTCCTGGCACCAGCAGCAGGGTAAAGCTGTCCTGCTCGGAGCCGTGGGCGCAGCACTGCTCCGGTGGGGGCTGCGGTGCGAGCACGGGGGCAGGTGCCCCGGGAGCCGGTCTTCTTGGCTGCTGCCAGCAGTGTTTGGAAAGCATGAGAAAGAGATGGAAGAGCATCACCCGTCAGGCCCCTAATAGCTGAAAAGGGCTGTGCAGCCCACCGAACAACTTGCCTTTTGAAAAGAAGTGCAGTCAAATCTCATTAAGGCTGTTCTTCTAAAAAGATTATAATTAACTTTCATTAGTGCCATCGTTCCGCAGTTCTTTAAGTAATAGGAATTAATTGAAAAAGCAACTGGAGCGTTTTACCTAATTGCTAAAAAATCATGTCTCAAAGCATGAGAGATTGATAAAAACATGAGATACTCAGTATGTACACACATTTGTATTCTGTACTCATACTTGCAGCGTATGTGTGGGGGGTGAGGTTGTGCCAGCCATTGTGCAACTGAAGTAGCAGAGGGGTTTGTAAAGAAGATTAGAGTTGGCTTCTCAAGGGGATTCAGAGTGCTTCAAAGGATGCATGGGAAGTGAGGGAGAAGAGTTTTCAATAGTGGCTCTGCGAAAGAGATTGACGTCTCTTTGTACGGAGGAGTTTCAGTTTAAGAGCGCTATGGAGTAAAGCACTTCCAGTTAACTTGAGTGTAAACTAGCGCCGCTTCTCAAGAATCGCCTCCAAGATTTGTATGGGACAGGAGGGAAGAGGAGCGACTTGTGTTGGAGGATTGCCTTCCCTTCCCCTGAGTTTTGAGCCGGGGAGCAGCGGGGCTGAGGGGAGGGGGAGCTGGGAGACCTGAGCCCCGGCAGCCTCGGAGGAGGTATCATGTAACCCTTCAGCCTGGGGATCCTCTGGGGCCCTGGCAAGCTGATTCTCTCTTCTGCCTGCCTGGGGCTGTGAGCAGTTTCCAGGGCTTTCTTGGGAGCAACGTGGTAACAGAATTTTATGATCTAGAAGCGAATTTTTCCTTTGCTGCCCAAGCGGCTTGGGTAACGTATGATTTGGGAGCAGGGGGTGGTGGGGTGTTGTATTTTTTTGCTTTTCACCTAAAGGAAATACTAGGTTGTAACAATGCCTTTTTTTGTTGGTTTTTTCCTCTTTCACAGCTCTAAAGCTGCATAATAAATACAGTGATTTCCAAGTTTTTCAGCTTTCTTGATAAGAACTGCATTAGGAAAGACATCTTTTATAGGAGCAAAGAAATTGTTTGGGTACAGTAAAGTTGAGTTTGATGTTGCGCACCTGTTTCATGAACGAGGGCTCCCCATGCTGGGATCGCTAAACACAACTGGGGAGGAATCATCAAGATCTTCTAGTGGTTGCAACAAACTGCAAAGAATATGTGGTCCGTGGCGGACAAATTACCGGCAGGTATTTTTGTTGTATACAGCATCCTGTGGCAATGAGTTCCATGATTTATTAAACATCGTGCAAAATGCCTTCTCCTTTGTTTTAAATATGTTTGAGTGGTATTTTCCTTCTTTCCTTCTTCCCTCCTTATCCTTTTTTTCTGTGGGAAGCAAGGAAATATTCTTTATTCAGGCTTTGCATAGTTTTCAAACATGATGCATAATTTGGAAGGTGTCAGTTACATCTTCTGTCGTTTGTTTCCTGTCCAAGTTTATTCTTGTTTTAAAACTGTACCTTTTATCATACTTACTGTTCCCTCTGCTACCGCTTCTTGTTGCGCTGTATCTTTGGGTAGGACAGCCACAACTGTGTTATTCAGGTAGTAGAAAATGGTATCTGTGGGTTTTCGGGGAGAAAAAAAAGGTCAAAGAGTAGATTTTCTGCAAATTTTAGAGATGTCAGTGCAAAAAATTTTCTATTGTCTTAAATGGATTTTTTATTTAGGTTCAGAGTTGTGCATTTTGAGGTTCAGGAAGTTTGGGCTTAAACTCTGCTTGTGCAGCATCTTTTTATACCCGTTAGAGAAAATGGTTGGGCCAATACTGCGTCTTTTTAGCTATTTTGTTAAGTGTTCTATCCTAGAGACAAATCAGACCGGTAAAGGGCAGTAGACACTCAAACACCGTTACTTAAAATCTAGCTAGCAGTGGCTGGAATTACTTTTAGGATTTTTTATTATTATTATTGCTGCTATTACAGTTTTGGAAAGAATCTGTCACTGGAGCATCTGAAGCTTTATGATCTATACATGCTATAAATAGGGCAAGTTTTTTCAGGAATGATACAAAGTCAAGGAGGGAGAGCAATATCACTTACTAACATCTTGATTATATAAGACAGAATGAAAGAAGAAGTGCACTAGCCATCAACTGCTTTTATGCTTGTTATTTACCTTTGTTTAACCTATATTAGACAACTAGAAATAAGGACTATTTCAGTTTCTTTTATATGCAGATTTTTACTTACTACTTTTTCTGTGAAAATATTTCTCTATATGCTTGTTTGGACCTCTTCTTTTAAAAGACTTGCCCACTGTGCTGTTTATACAACAGTATCATTAAAGCAGTAATCAAGAAAGGGCTTAACTCTGGAATTAATATTTAATTGCTTCTGTAGAACATTGCTCACATATCATTTGTGTTTCTCTTACAGTGATGGAATGGTTCCTTTATTTTCTGTTGGGGAACCATGATAATGAACCTGTAGTTAGGGTTTCTTCAGGGTCTTGTCACTGGGGAGAGAGGGGTTGTGTGATCTAAGGCAGCAGAAGCTCTGCTGGTGGGACCCATTTGATCACCCTTGCTTCATGCCGTACCTGTGCCTTGTACCAGCAGGTATAAAGTCTCACTTTAACTATAAACACATTCTCATTGCTTCTGTCTGAGACAGTGTTCAGATTTGCACTTTTAATTTCATTTAGCCTGTATGTAGCAGCTAGCTCTTTAGTACTTAAAAATTTGGGATATTCCCAGAAAATAAAAATAAAAGTCTGTTCTTATAATCTACCCCTGCCTCATGCACACTTCCATAATTTTTACTGTTAATATTGAGAAACTAAATTACAGAATTTTAAGACGTGTATAATCTTCCCCTTAAATCAGTGACTAGAAAAAGTATTTTCTTTGGTTTTCTACCTCAAAAACATAAAAGGTTTGTGATTGTTCTCTCAGGAAAATAAAGGCAGTGGACAAGGTGTTAAAATGCAATGAATGAAATCTAATCAGATCCTGGAAACACAGAGGTGTTTGTCAGGTAGACTTCAGGATCCTGCCTGGGTCCCTCAGCTACAAGCCCAGGCTTCATGAAAGAATATACTCTCAGGAAAAGCGGCAAGGAGAGATTGAAGCAGTCTGCAAGAGGAAAATAATTCGTTACAGTTGCCTTTGAGTCTTTTGATTCCCTGTGCCATTCTAGGTCAGCAAAATTTCAGTGCTACCACCATGGCCTTCTATGATCTGAAAAATCTCTCCATTTTGACCAAGCAAAGGTAACAGTGGCTAAATACATACCGTAGGGAAGATGCATTCTGTGGGGCAACACGAAGGCCTAGCTGCCTCCTGGGAACGTTGCAGGATAAAGCTTCTAAGGGGAGGACAGCTGAGGCTGTGGCAAGTTGTCCAGTTGAGGGACTAGGACTGCAGGCTGGGTTGTGGAAAACTTCTCTGCCTTGCTGTCTGGAGACAGTGCAATCTCTTCTGCAATGGGAAGGGAGACTAAGTTATACTAATACCAACTGTATCCATTCTCCATGTATCAAATGGGAGTTTTGCATTGGTCATTCAGAAATGAAATGGTGATGGAAAAATTACAGAATCTTATGGAATCCAGTTTTTATGAAGAAAAGTTTTAGTAGATGGATCTTAATAAGCAGCACTAAAAAGATGAGAGGCATAACTTGCCCCCTGGGAAACTCCTTCCAATCAGTGGTGTGGGTGCAGAAAATTAGAAGCTTGGGATTCACAGCCTGAGAGGATTCTTTCACTGTCTGCAGAACTAGTAAAGACTTTTGATTAATTTAACATACGTGGATTTGGAAAGGTGTAGAGGGATAGTATTTTCGAGTGGAGGACTTTGCACTACAGGTTTACTGAGGAGACTTTTGTATTTGGAAGATGTGTTCTTAGCTGAATTTATTGCCAATAGCAGTGTAGGTGGAAGGAAAACATCTCTTTTCTTACCTTGATTAGGTATGATTTAGAAGTGATGTTTAGACTAGAAGGGTGACTCCCGCTAGTAACATGATATTACACAGTGAATGGATTGTATCTACCTTTCAGGTGGAATGGACAACTAGTTTGACCTCATAATAAAGGGAATTTGTTGTTGGACTTCGCCTGGCCTGGATAAGGAAGTGGTCCATAAAGAAGGAAATAATTATTTAATGTTTCTGTGCTACAAAGTTT